TCACCCACCATGTTGTTAAAAAATGGCTCATTCTGCCTAATAATAATAAAATGACATATCAATGAGTAGGAACGGGCTGTGAAACGGGTGTACGCGGGTGTAACGGAGGGACACCGCCCCGTAGCGAGGCCCAAGTACCGCTGATCTGACGTTGTGGAAGGAAATTACGTGAGCTCTAAGTGTCGGACTAGCAAGGTGTAGCGCAGCGTCGGGATGAATGGCAAAGTTTATTCTCGGAGGCCAAGACCCACTTCGGGGTCATAGCGCCAGCTCAGCTGCAGCAGCATATCAATATGACAGCTTTTCTTATCTATACCATAGACGGGGCAATGAGCTCACGGTGTATCTGGTTTATAGTGATCAATATTTAAATGCCGTCGCCCAACCAGAGACAAGAAATCTAAGTCTCAATTGTATAGTTTAACGGCTGTATTACGCGTAGAGTTGTTTGTTTAATAAACAAAATAATGTAGAGCAAGGACGAGCAACACGCGGTCCGCATTTCAAAAATTGAATTTATATTTATCGACTTTCTCCCATAAATTCGTTTTCTGTTCTTTTCTTGTTTGCTTTTGATAAAGAAATAAAGTTTCGTAAATTATTAATAAGAGTTACTGTATGTGCGGCCGCCAAAAAAAATCCATTTTAAATTGGCCCATTGATTAAAAAGGTTGCTTACTCCTGATGTAGAGTATACTTACTCTTTAGTACTAAATTATATTACGTATACATTAGATGTTTATTTTGCAAGTTACCCTCGCACCAAGAACGAGTTATAAACTTCTCTAGTTCCTTAGGTGTCCGGGGGATGCGTAAAAAACACTATCGCTTTTAATAAAATAATACTAATAAAAATTAACACGGTTTGCGTTAACTGAAAAAATATATAAATGAGGAGACTCTCGTATGTATCATTTTTTATTTTTTTATTGCTTATGTGGGTGGACGAGCTCACAGCCCACCTGATGTTAAGTGGATACTGGAGCCCATAGACATCTACAACGTAAATGCGCCACACACCTTGAGATATAAGTTCTAAGATCTCAGTATAGTTACAACGGCTGCCCGACCCTTCAAGCCGAAACGCATTACTACTTCACGATAGAAATAGGCAGGGTGGTGGTACCTACCCATGCTGGCTGACAAGACGTCCTACCACCAGTAATTACGCAAATTATAATTTCGCGGGTTTGATTTTTATTACACGATGTTATTCCTTCACCGTGGAAGTCAATCGTGAATATTTGTTAATTACATATTTCATTAGAAAATTTGGTACCCGCCTGCGGGATTCGAACACCGCAGCATCGCTACATACGAATGCGCCGGACGTCTTATTTTTTGGGCCACGACGACTATATGCATGACAATGTATCGTTTGTTCTAAATGGTCGTTGATTCGGTTTCTCCTCTTCTAATTTTATTATTTGTGACGTACCTACATATAAATATTTCCATAAATAAACTAATTAATTTAAAAGTTAATAAATTAGTTAGTAATAGGTTAGTAGTTTAATTGTTTAATTATATATTGTGAATAAAATTATTTCCTTACATTATAAGTTAGATTAGTTTTCGTTATCGTGTTGTTTTGTCGTATAGTTGTTAGGAATGTTGTTGTACAAATTCAGCACTATATTATTATGTCTTGTTTTGTCGTGCGCACATGGCTTATGTTGCGTGCCAGATTTTGTTTCTTTTTACTTATGTTTTTTATGTATCTTTGGGAGGCTTACGCGAAAGGAAAGATCTTCGACCGAGCAGGTGATATTTGCTCGGTAGACCGACGGTCCGAATGTTGTTGTTCGGAACTTGTATATATGCAAGCTTATCTTGAAAATGTCGTAAGCGAGATTCAGGCATCTGTCAAATATCTTGCGTTGTATGATGGCTACCCGCCATATATCTTTTTAGCTTGTAATGTGTATTGTGAGCCTAATAAATAAATTAAAAAAAAATGCGTAGGTACTTGCTCATTCCATACATAGGCGCAATAAAAATTCCTAATACCCTACATTTCTAATTGTGCTGGTCAATAAACCGAATGGGTTGGCCCGAACAAGTTTGGGGCACGAGTCCCCAGTACGTGACGGTATTGTTGAGGAGTCGTCGCGGAGTCTGCGTGTTGTGCTCATATTTATTAACACATGTTCCTTGGAGGGCTTGTATCGCAAAACTAATGATTCTCGCTCACGTAAATGAGAGCAAATAATCGTGTGGAATAAACCAGAATAAAATCTTTTATTTGTATTTTTTATAGTGTAGATAATAATACATTTTTTGGATCTGTACTGGATATGTATATTTATTTATTTACTTTTACTAATATTATAAAGAGGAAAGATTTGTTTCTTTGTATTGAATAGGCTCCGAATCTACTTATCCGATTTAAAAAATTCTTTCACTGTTTGGAAGCTACACTATTCCCGAGTGACATAGGCTATAATCTTTTTTGAAAAAAATTACGGATCTTTACTAAAACTCCAATAATGTAACCCAAGGTGTAAAAAAATTACCTAAAATATTTTTTACATCGCATGCCCTGCGAAAACGATTGATGATAAAATAAAATAATGTACTACGACTTTGTAGAACACATTAATATTTACAAAAAGTGTCGGGACAGCATATGTCTAACTATTATAGCTATGCCGCAATAAGTGTTCTTTTATTTAAAAAAATAAAACAACGTCAAATATCGTTGAAATTTTTGTCAAAGACCTGAGCGGAGCCGGAGCGGGCTGCTAGTTTATTTATATTTTAATAACTTCTGCTAACATCGAGGGAGCGGTTGAAAGACAACCGTGAACAATGTAACACTGTAAATATTCCAAGACCATTCGTAAACATACTACACGTCTTCTTTCAGAAAGCTGAAGATTTGTTGGTAATTAGGTAATCCTTAAATTTACTGAATATGAGATTTGATAATGTTTTTTTACAAATTGTCCCAGAATCATTAGTTACTAAGTAGTGACTTGTTGCTGTCAAACAAATTGCTATTGTCTGTGAGCCAAATCAACATCTTCATCATCAATATTAACATGTATATCAATACGTATAATAAATCAGTCGAACTGGAGTGTGTCTGTGTATTGAAGGAAAACATTGGAAGGGCTTAATAAAGAACAAAATCCAAAAAAATTCAGAATTATTTTCTGATTGTGCAATAGTTTGTTCGCGCTCATCTCAGGAACTACTGAATGAATTCTTATACAGCTTTATAGATGTATAGAAAACAGTAAAGACGAAAATAATTGTTTGTTTGTTTCATTAAAATATCACAAGGAAAAATAACGCAATTAAAAGAGTGTTAGAAGTTACTATCATTTGCTAGAAGTTACTACTAGCAAATGACATTAAAAATGTTTACACTACGAAAGTAAGTTTTTTTTTGTCGCTTGCGTTTTCTTTTTTAAATCTCAGAACCAATTTTGACGGAATCTGGTATGGAAATTGTTTGAACCAGGCGAAATAATATAGGCTACGAATGGAATGGGGTGTACGCCCACGCGATATGAAGTGCACTCCAGATTGAGGCAGCTGCGGACTGAGAATGAGCGGTCAGCAATAAGCAGCAAAAATAATTTTCAAATATTCGCGAGCTCAATAAACGAAGACCCCCATCACTATTTATCGATAGAATTCGATCGACAGTCGATGCACGCGCCGTCGTTAAACGCCGGGTGAATTCCACGCGTTCCCGGCGACTCCGACTCCAATATTTGTCGTGAGGAGCGAAGCATATTAAGACCCGGCGCATTCCTTCAGTCCGTTTCGAACAATGCGGGGGCTGTGAGGTGAATTTCGCCGTTTAACTATTAACTCGGAGCGTTCGAAATTCAACTTTTTCAATTCGATTTTTTAATTGTTTTAGTGACGCAATGAATAGGCGGCTTTCGTTTTCCAAGCTTTTTTTTTATTGCCTAGATGTGTGGACGAGCTCACAGCCCACCTGGTGTTAAGTGGCTACTGGAACCCATAGACATCTACAACGTAAATGCGCCACCCACCTTGAGATATAAGTTCTAAGGTCTCAGTGTAGTTACAAGGGCTCCCCATTCTTCAAACCGAAACGCATTACTGCTTCACGGCAGAAATAGGCGGGGCGATGGTACCTCGTGCGGACTCACAAGAGGTCCCACCACCAGTAATTACGAAAATTTGATTTTTATTACACGATGTTATTCCTTCACCGTGGAAGTCAATTGTGAACAATTGTTTAGTACGTATTTCATTAGAAAACTATTTCTTTAATTTTTTTTTAGCAACGCTTTCTTAATAATATCGTCATACAGGCGCTTTTATGTACCGATTAACTACAAACGTTCGCTGGAAACCACAGACATTAAAACTTGGGTCCCACCGCCCATCTCACTTACTGTTTATTTCAGAAAAAAGAAGCTTGAATCAAATAACTAAATGCTCTACGCAGGTACAATGCACGATGGTAAGAAGTACCTTTAAATAAGTGAAAATAACGGAATTTGGACTGGGTTTCGAGATCCTGGCCTTTGCAATGCCAAACGCATGGAACATATTATTTCAATGGGAATATATTGACAATTTTTAGGTTAGTCCAATAGGGGAGATATGAGACAAGATTTACAAAAATAATTCGAAATAATCCATTTACGAAATTCAATTGTGGTTGGAGTTTAAAATTTTATAAAAAGAACAGCAATCGTAATTCTTCAAATTGAAATATTGTTGTGCTTGAAGCTCAACGGACATTAGCTTATCACCCCATGGAGGCAAAACACAGTACTATATCCATGCTTTAGCTACACCCCTAAAACATAGATGGCGCTGTGAAAAAAATTTAAATTGCCTTCACTAAACGTGATATTTATTAATGGATTTTTAATTATACACATTATTTAAGTAAACATTAGCCATCTTAATAATAAATATATTTATATTTTAGGTACATTGCAGTATCAGTATATCTTTGTGCAGTGGATAAAGCAGTTGTTTCAAATTTTGTAACTACCGTCGTGATGTGTGCGTGTATCATAACAAAATGGTAATTTAATTTGTGACGGTATTTGTAACTATAATTTAAGTTAAATTAGTATAAAATTCACAAACATAGTCCTGAGTGAGTACTATTTACAACAATATATTAACTACAAGATTGTGTGCGAGTTTTACTAGCTCTTTTGTTTTGTGTAACTTCGCAATTTTTTGAGAGTTATAGTAACTACTGGTTGATATGAACAAGAAGATCACGGCGGTCTTGTGGTTATCTCGGCCCGTTTATAATACGATAAGACTAATTGGAAATCCCGCTGATATACCAGCTTCACAATTGTGATTGTTACGCAAACTTCATCCATGGATTGGAAATTTTAATCAGGTGGAAACTCGGATCTCCTGCCTGCTTTCCAAGCGGACATCAGCGGGCATCTCAAGGTGAATTTCATTGCTCATTTGGAGACTCGGTATCGAAGCTATGAGTCACTGCAAGCTTGTCACACAGAGCCATTCGATCGAATCTCATTTTTGCAACAATCAACTTTAAAACAGATTAGATCATACTTTTTATACTAATTACTTTCAAACTGATGGTAGGGCGTGTTGTGAGTCCGCACCGTACGTCCGTACCGTTTTTCTACCTATTTCTGCCGTGAAGTAGTTATGCGTTTCGGTTTGAAGAATGGGGCGGCCGTTGTTCTAGATTTGTTTTGTGTGTTGTACTATTCATGATGTTTATATTCATAGATTCCAGTAACTACTTAACGTCAGGCGAGATCGTTCTGGGTGAACTAAACAATTAAAAAATTGCTTCAAAGAGGCCATATAAATCGAATCAATATGTCAATTTTTATTGAATTGTTAGGTAAATAAGCTCACTCTCTGCCTATTATTTAGCGGTCACGGGAGCTCATAGATATCTCATTGTGAATGCCGTCGCCCATCGCGAGTCATGCCGTTGAAATCCCAATTGTTTTACGACTATGCCACCCTTTTATCTGGAATATATTGCTGCTCCAAGGCATACCTAGGCAGGGTTGCGTTGTATACCCGCGCGGGGGTTTTTACTATCGAATATATTATAATTGGGTGTCACTGTTACTGGTGGTAGGACCTCTTGTGAGTCCGCGCGGGTGGGTACCACCAACCTTGCCTATTTCTGCTGTGAAGCAGTAATGCGTTTCGGTTTGAAGGGTGGGGCAGCCGTTGTAACTTTACTTGAGACCTTAGAACTTATATCTCAAGGTGGGTGGCGCATTTACGTTGTGGATGTCTATGGGCTCCAGTAACCACTTAACACCAGGTGGGCTGTGAGCTCGTCCACCCATCTAAGCAATAAAAAAAAAACCTACCAGATAATAAAATATATTAATTGAATAAAAAAACAAATGTTCCACCAGCATGAGTTCGAACAGCGACAGTTCTTTAGAGCTCATTGAGGACGGGTCCCCTCACTCTCTGCTGGAGACACCTTCTCCGGATTACACGAATGTCACCATCAGACGGGCTTTCATCGTGTGGATGCTATGCGGTCAGAAGAACAAGTTCAGGGATGTGTGCAACTACTATCACAGATTGGAGTTATTGGTAAATAATATTTAACTATATCTCTTATATCCAGCCCTAGTAATTCCTTATGTCTCAAACCTTCTCCATTGTTAATGTGGTATCAAGTAGATCTCTAATACTAGCTTAACAGCAGATTGGCCGTGGTTTCGTCTACAAAAAAAAATGTTTTAACTACCATTTTAATAATGTTATTTACATCATACCACCGAATGGGTGACGACAATAATAATGTGGTGGTAAAATCGCTTAAGGTCTTGCAGATCCTCCAAAATCAGTTAGATTGAATATGAAATATCAAAAGTCTTGGGTTCTTAGTTTGTAATAAAGAGGACTATAAATATTGGTACTTGCTTGTGGAATTTTAAACTCATCATAATTGCATCGCCTCATACTAATACACAGAGCGCGAATTCTTTAGGTAACGATCTTGTCAAACGTGTATTTTAAATATCGAGGAAGTTATTACTAAGGGGGAGCGTAAAAAATAATTCCTAGGGGATTTAGAATGATTTCTGTTTATAGACTAATTGAAAGTAAATGCGCAAGAAATTAAAGACAGTGAAATATTTTTTCAGGAGGAACAACTTCCGCCGAATAAGCGGGCTACCAGTCGTCACTACGAATTCAACATGATCAACAACCCGCCGCCGAAGTCGTCCTATTTAAAAGCATGTTTCCCGACTCTGTATTCTGGTGTATTCGCGCACGCACACGACCAGACCGACACCCACACAAACGAACGCTGCGAATTCAATATCGGCGACTTGGACGAGATAAAGAAACGAGAAGGAATCACTACTGAAGACGTGGTTCAGGCCAGCGTTATGATCCGGAACTATTGCAAGTCGCACGCAATCTCTCTAGACAAATTTTTGGTTGAGTTCAAAGACATCGCCCGAAAAACTAACCTAAAAATTAATGTGAACAACGTCGTATTTTACATCAGGAGACGCTTGGTCGCTGAAGAATTGAAGCTGGCTCTGCTTTGTCCGCGTACAATGCACATGCTCGACGAGGATTCCTCATGGAAACACGTAAAAGATATCACGAAGTTGATCAGAGGGAAAACTCAAGTCCCGAAGAGCCTTCACAATGATATGATACAGAAGAAATTGAAAATTTTGACCGAAAACATGAAAATTGAGAACGAATTAATATCAAAAAAGGGCAAAAACGACTATTATGACATAAACGACATTTTTTCGAATATGAAAAAACAAGTGACGCCCGTTGTTACTAATGTTTTCGGATTTAATAATTATTCTCAGAAGGACTCTTACAAGCATATGACTGTCCCGAAGGATTCTTACAAACATATCACCGTAGACGACTTAATGAAGAATTACAATAAGCTCGGCGTAGGCAGCAACCATAAGTACACATTTATGAACATGACAAAGTTCGGAAGGAATTGAAACGAGTGACTTCATTTGACACTAATGACATTTGATAATTTTAATTAGCGCGCCATTTTAAATATAATATTGTGAGTTTAAGCTGAATTTTGACAGATTAATGGCGACATGAATTTTAATGACTGGTTTTATAATTAAATGAGATTGATTTTAATGTTTTATGTTATGTAAAAATATCACGAAAAAATTATATTTATGAAGACTCCTCCCGAAGATAGTTTGTAGCTTTGTTTGACAATTAATTAATAATTTACTAGTGGCCCCGCAGTAGTCGAGATTCGACTACTATTATATTTCGATAATCACAGTATTCGCCAAAACTGCACTATAGATCAATAATATTAAAGACAAACAATATTAAACTATTTTCAATTCGACCACAGACTTTAAACAAATAACAAAAGTTTCCCAATTGACAGTAAACAAAGAGTATTTTTATGTATGTGTTGTGTCAAATGCATGGTAATATTTTCTTTATTGATTTAATGTATCTTTTAAGCATTATTAAAAAAAAATTTAGCATTGTGCACTTCTTCTCTGTATTCTCTATAAGTGTGGAAAGGGGATTGCCCACTCTCCATAGTGTGCTAGGCCCAAGATGGACATCAAATATTACTATAAAAATGTACTGATTCAAATTCTTAAATGTATTGGATATCTAAAAAATATATTGAAATTGACGCCACTATTATAAAAAATATAATAAAAATAAAAACTCGTTTTGAGGTTAATTTTCTATATAAATAAGTGTCGGATTGTGAGATACTTCAAGAACTTTTCTTTTCTTAATGTTTAAGATGTTCCTAATGTATTTTTATCCAATAGGGTATAAAAACACACTTAATTCTTTAAATATCTATATTTTCTTCATCTTCATACACAATTAGTATCATCTAAAAATAGCAAAGGAGAGCATATACACGGTTTTAAATCTCGGTCAGGGTAAAACCACAATTCACACAATGTTTTTTAGTCGTAGTATGAAACGTTATTGATAAAAGTAAAATAAATCGAAGAAAAATCAAAACACATCCATTTTGTACGCAAGCACAACACCACAAGCAGCAAGCGAAGTGTCAGTCAGTCAGATTAAATTCAGTGTTGTCAGTATAAAGAAAAATAATTACATGAAATTCATATATCGATTATTTTTTTAAATAACCGATAATTGATTTATATCTTAATCTTTTTTTTACGAGTACACATTATTTTTTATGTTTTTGTTTTAGTTGTACATATTTAAATAACAATACTAGTAAAGTTTTTTTTATTGCTTAGATGGGTGGGCGAGCTCACAGCCACCCTGGTGTTGCTAAGTGGTTACTCGAGCCCACATACATCTACAACGTAAATGCGCCACCCACCTTGAGATATAAGTTCTAAGGTCTCAAGTATAGTTACAAGTTAAAGTCCAATGGGTATGTCTTCGATGTTATTTTATGTGCATAAAATTCATTAAAATCGTTTGATTAATGATAATACTTAAAATGATTTATTTATATGTTTTATTTATATACTCAAAATATTTACTTCATACGTAAAAGGATTTGAAGCTGGCAATATTTTTCCCGCAAAAATAAAAATCCTTGTTTTTTCAATAGAGTTACTTTTTTAAACTACTTATTGTAAACTGTAGTGGCGCTTATTTGCAAGAAAGTAAATGCATATTTATTTATGACAAAATTAATGCACTAAGTATTTTTTCTATAATCTATTGTCCGCTTTGGGCCTAAAATGGGCCATCCCCTTTCATACTCCTCCGTCCGCGCAATTTTCGTAAAAAGGGATACAAAGTTTTTGCTTCACGTATTAATATATAGATATCGTGGTAAATGACACGAGCATGCTATGTATAGTAATGCCGGTTATACCTACTGCTCTTATAATAAACACTACAGTGTATTCCATTGTTCATAATTTAAAAAAATTAAGAGCAATGTAAGACGAACGCTTCTTGTAAAAGAAAACATTCCACATTCATATATCCCTTTGTTGGGTTGCTACATTCTATTACGGGTTCCGGGTGCCGCGAACACATAAGAGATACAACAAAGTGTACCCAAGTTCCGAGTACCGAGTGTCATTTAAAAGATGCTGAGTCTGATACAAAATCGAACCTTTATAAACCTTATGATTCTGTGGTTAAGGTCTCTAACCAATAGACCATTGAAGAGATCAATAAAATAGAACAGAAACAGAAGTACAATGTAGGCTGAGATTGAACACAGAGTTTTAGATGGGTGGACGAGCTCACAGCCTACCTGGTTACTGGAGCCCATAGACATCTACAACGTAAATACGCCACCCACCTTGAGATATGAGCTCTAAGGTCTCAGTATAGCTACAATGGCTGCCCCACCCTTCAAACCGAAACGCATTACTGCTTCACGTTAGAAATAGGCAGGGCCTTGGTACCTACCCGTGCGGATTCACAAGAGGTCCTACCACCAGTGACTTCGACTATAATTATAGTCTATACGTATTTGTACAAGATTGTACAGTAGAGGTAGGTAGGTAGGCCACGATCAAATTGGTTTTCGATGGTGTGACTTTTACCAAAATCAACACCTGACGCTTCCGATTACGGTACTGAAAGATTGATGCAGTTTTGAAAAATTAACCTTCAAAAATAAAGATATATGTAAAATTAAAGGAACATGTCTCAAAATAAAAATCAGTGATTCTTTGTTAAAGCAGGTAGACAGTGAAAAAAGTGAAGAGGCACATGCAGGTACCAACCTAATGCTTCGGAATGACCGCTAAAATTCTTAGAACATTAGAGAAGGGGCATTATAATTTCGATAAATATTTTGTCGGTGAAACATGATATTTCATATTCATATTATATATTAAATTACAAATATGAATGTATTCTGCTAAATCTTTGACTTGTAATTAAATCTTCATTGAGTCAGTAATTATGTAATTAAAATTGTTTTTCGCTTCTAGTTGTTTTTTTTTGTGTTTTCTCACGAAATTTGGGGATCAGTGTTTTCTGATTACAATTCTGAATTGTGATCTGAAACAATTCGCCATTATAGCGCGATTATTATAGGTATTAGGATTTATGACTATTGACATCTATCTACATATATATATATATATATAAATGAATTGCTTTTTGTTAGTCTCACTAAAACTCGAGAACGGCTAGACCGATTTGGCTAATTTTGGTCTTGAATTATTTGTGGAAGTCCAGGGAAGGTTTAAAAGGTGAAAAAATATTAAAGTGCTCGAATTTTGTTTTTCCTTTGATGTGTCCTCCGTCGGACGGATTCTTTTTATTTTATACAAAAGTTTAGGTCTTTTATGTATAGACTGAGGCACTACGAAGTCTGCCGGGTCAGCTAGTTCAAAATAAATTACTCTTTTGTTGTACAACACATTTATCGATAAACCAAAACATCGATAACATGACATTATTAAAAGGACAGTCGGTCACTGCATCCCAACCCAATTCATAATTTGAATTCAAAATAAAACTCGCTTCAGTTTGGCGCGTACGCTTGCTTCGTTTGGATGTTGTCAAAATGACGGAAAGTCAAATGTCGACCCCGGTGAATACGATAAGCAGGGAAAGCTTAAAAGTGTTCATCACGAATAACGTGTTCAAGAAACCGCTGGATTTTAATTCTGATTGCGACGTAAGTGTGTTTTGAAAATTTCTCTTGTCTCGTGCGCCGTGCTAGGTAAGATGCCACGGCACCGTCGGAGCAGAGTCCACTGGCGACACTGGCTGGAGCCACACGAGACTGCATTCATCCACAGCGCGCTTCACGGAATCAATTCTTAATATGTATTTAAATGTTCTATAGCTATGTTGGCAGCGGCTTGCCTCTGCCCCTGGCATTGCTGAAGTCCATGGGCGACGGTAACCACTCACCACCAGGTGGGCCGTATGCTCGCCTGCCTACAAGGCCAATAAAAAAGGTGTTCTATAGCAATGACTGGGTTGCGCTCCAGTCAGAGCCCCTAACTGCCCCACTGCGGGAAACATTTGTGGCGAATATAGACGTTGGTTTCAAAGATATTATTTGAATAGTAATCTCATTTGCCTTTTTATTTTTTTCATAATTGTTTGAATCAGCTCACGGTCGACTTGGTTTAAGTAGTTACCGGAATCCGCAAGCACTACGATATTAGTGTAGCTACCCACCTTAAGATGTAAGGTGAATCACAATTGTAGCTGCCGTTCCTTCAAATAGGTCCCATTATTTCTTTCAGTCAGAAATATGCAGAATGATCGGATCTACCCGTTTTGACTTATTAAATGCCCTATCATCAGCTAATTGTAGGTCACACACAACCATCATTTTGAATAGCTTTTCGAATTACTTCTGCCGTGAAGCAGTAATGCGTTTCGGTTTGAAGGGTGGGGCAGCCGTTGTAACTAGCTATACTGAGACCTTAGAACTTATATCTCAAGGTGGGTGGCGCATTTACGGGTGGGCTGTGAGCTCGTCCACCCATCTAAGCAATAAAAAAAAAAGAATTTGGGCTCAATAGTAGTAACTACAAATCTTAACTTTACAGATGGATACAGAGTCGCCATTAAGAAAACCTAATCTGCAACCGATCACCAGAAGATTATTCCATTCGCCGATAACGAATGAAGACGATTGTCCTACCAGCCCTAAGGGCAGGCTCGGGAGGAAACGGAAGCGAAAGAATTCAGCCGATTCTAGTGACAGAATAAAACGGGCCTATGTTACTGAATGTCAGCAAAATGACAGCAGTGAGCGCTGCACGGGCATGAGGAGACGGGTGCTGATCAGTCTATTCCACAATAAGGAATATTTTATGGATGTAAGCAGTTGAAATCGAGTACCACATTGAAGGCCGATTTAGTGTTAATTGGCCACCAAAACCCATAGATACCATAACTGGTATATACATATGCGGTGGTAGCATCATTAAGACGAACATAATATCTACTGTTGCTGCTGGAAGAAGCCAGCATGCCTCTGCGACCTTTATCAAATCGTCTCCGTTCTATACTA